TTTCTGTTTTCCCCTCTTGAAGGAGTTTTCTACGCAGTTTTAAGTCAAACATCTGGGTCAGCTTAGATCTAGCGGAACAGGACTTGCAGGATATTGTTGGCAGGATGTGATGTGTGAGCTGAAGCAGTTTACTCTGTGGGAATCCCCAGCACAAAGAGACACACACAGAGGGAAGAGAATGCTTACACACAGACACACACTCCCTGCTCACTGACATCCTACTCAGCCCCACGTCCAGGTGTAGCCAATCATACAAGACATTTACTTTTTCATTCAACAATCTGTCTTTCTTAAATTCTCGGCTGCTGTTTAAATCTCTGTGTTGTAACAGACTTGGTTTGTGGAGACGATCTAAGTGGTTTTGGAGCAAAGGAGAAATAAGCAAGATTTATATGACAAAAAAAAACAAAACACACAATTTTTATTCAGTACTAAGCAAAAGTCTTAAGCAATCCTTTGTTTACAAGTAATTTGCTTCACATGAGGTTTGCCACAACAATAGTGAGTTTCCTGAACTTGTCTGATGACTGTCTACTTAGCTGTTAATTAAACAATGCTATGGTTGATTGATTGATTAATTGATTGTCTTTATTGATCTCACAGCAGGGAAAAATACTCTTTACATCAACTCAAATACTCAAAGGAGAAGAATGTGCCAATGGTAGAAAAAGGTGCATGATATATACAGTGTATACAGTGCGTCCACATATGACAGCTTTTTTTTATTCTTTTAAGGTAGGATCTTTATACAGGGTTATTGCACAGGGTGTTTACATGGGTATTCATCTGGATGGATATTTATATTTATATATATATAGTTATTGCACAGGGTCTCAAATATATAGAGACAGGTTATTGTGCAGGGTATCAAATAGTAATTGCACAATATACATTGCAGAAGTTATTACCGTAGTGTCGCATTGTAGAGTCTGGTTGCAACAGGGATGAATGACCTGCGGTGGCGCACCTTTTTACAAACAGGGTGTAAAAATCTTTCACAAAAGGAGCTGCTCAGCTTCTCTACAGTCTGGTGCAGAGGGTGGAAGGTGTACTGCTAAAAGTTGTACAAAAGTTAAGCCACATAGGAAAATCTTAATTAAACTTTAAGCCATAACATGCCGTCCAATAAGAAAACAGTGCAGCTTAAATAGAATTTAAGAAAAAGTAACACTGCAATCACCAAAAAGAGTAGCATACAACGAACACAAAATTGTTGCAGCTTTCAGTCAGACTCTCTAATTTCTGCTCCAGTTCTGACTCACATTTTTACTATGAAGACTTCTTCAGTTTGTGCTAAGGAGGCTTTTTGCATGAGAGGTGGAGAATCTTTTCGAAATACGGTCTAGATTTGTGCTAGGCTGTTACAGTTGTCTCCTTAATGACAGAGAATCTAAACCAGTGTGTTACTCTGATAACCAGAAATATGCATCAGCACTGCTTGTCCCAAATTTGCGGTGAATAGAAGCAGCTGAAAGTGTTTAACTTTTCTAATCACCGTCTATTGGGTTTACCTGCACTGAAGGAATTCAACGTTCTGGTGAGACACCCTTTTTAAAAAGCGCCATAGACTCTTTAAGTCTTTCCACAATTAACATAGTAGCGTCTCGGCTGACTCTACTACAGAAACATTCATTGCTGGGGTATGATCCATGCTGTGTCACCATTCCTTCAGCTTCAGGTTTTCCTTCCATTGAATCTAGGATTTCAGCTGTATAATGATCCTTGAAAGATGAGTGTTAATAGCAGATGGCGTGTTTTTTGGTGTTTGAGCAGAGTGTGCACACATATTTCACTTAAGACAGTCTTTTTTCCGCTCTGAGCTCCAATCATTGTCCATACAGTGTTGTGGCTTTCACTCTTTGCTGTCACAAAAAAGATTTTTGAAATTAATATTTTTCTTTTAAATCCACAGAAATGCAAATTTGTTTTACAGCTTCAAGATTCCAGAGTTTGCTGGTTCACACATTAAATTACAATTTCCTTTAACAGACCACTAATCTGTCTTAGATAGTTATTGCTCATTTTTCAAAGAAAGGACTGGAATGGAGAATGTTAAAGATCCAAAAGAAGAAATATTGATCAAGACTATGTTGAAGATTAGTTTTGTAAACATTTAAAAGAAAACACAGGCTTTAGACACTTGAAGTGACACAATCATCCATTATTGAACTTCCTGCATTACCATCTGACCAAAGCCCTTTCTCAGCTTCTATGTGTCGACTGTACTTCAGCTTTCAAATTCCCTCTAATCCAATGAGCTTCCTAACTATTTTAAACCTGCTTTTGTTTTGCTGGTTGGATTTTAGACTTTTTATCTGATAAATCTCAGTGTGAGAGAGTCAACTGTTTTTTTCCCATTTATTTTTATTGACTGCCTTTCATATTTCATAGGCAAACAGGCATATTATTAAACATGCAGATGATACAGTAATTTAAAGCATTTTCCATGCTGAAGAGCATCACCAGAAGGAGTATGTTTCTTGTGCTGATAACGAATCTTTAAAGATCAACACCCTGCAGAAATGACTTCAGAAGGTTATTGTCCCTTTCACTACTAACAGAAGTAAATGGTAACAAACAATATTTGTCAAAGCAAATCTTTATTTACATTATGGATTTAACTCAGTCCTTTGGCAGAGGTGTCAAAAGTATTACAATTTTTTTCTCAAGTAGAAGTATAAATCATAGTATTGTAGAAGTTACAGTATCAATTTAAGCATTTTACGCAAGTGTAAAGTAAAATTTTTGGAAAATACTTAATTATAAAATAAGTGCAGGAAAAAATGTTAAGGACAGATGCTTCAAACTTTATACTGGTTACTGCCCAACCCTTTTAAAGGAAGATTTTGAGTTAATTTTCTTACTTTTATAACTAATGGTAACAGTGTCAAATTTAACTTAGCATCATCATGGAAAACTATTTATTTTGGTTTGTGGCAAACAAGACGTTGATGCAGTACTGAGTCCAAACACAAAGAAATTAATTGTCTGGATAAAACAAATTATTTTTATGGTTTGTAAATATATATATATATTTTTAATACTGTTAAAAGGTAAGCTCTGTGTCCACACCTTGAAGCTTTACTTCTTCGGTTCGTTTTCCTGAAAATAGATCACTATGGACAAACTCTTTAAATAACAGTTCATAGCTTATATGTATTAAATAACCATGAGCCCTTACGACAGATTTTGATAGAAATTGTAATCTTACTCAGATCAGAGAAGTTGCTAAGAGTTACAGAAGGCAGCTGCTTACCAACCGGGGTCACTTCTCGGGAAGTGGCCACGATTAATAGTTAAAGAAGCATTTTATACATCTTCAGTCTGCCATATCATCACATTTTACATCATGAGTGTTAGCAGATGAGGAGACATCCATGGCTCCAGCCTTATCAGAATATTACACTTTGTTCTTAGCTGAAGGACACCGCTCTCATTCCATTTCCAAATCTTTGCCACGTACAAAATGAAGATTATAACTGTATATATCCGGACCGAGGAACTGGCCTTATTGGGGAAAACATCAGTTCGGAGACGCAACAGGCAGCTAATATTAAGGTGTAATAAACTTACACATCATCACTGATAATTATCCTAGCAATACCATCAGGCCATAATTAAAGGGAGCTTAAATAAAACAAAACCAACAAGGTTATTTTTTAAAATATAAGGAGTAGAAAGTAGAGATAATTGGTAAAAAATGTAGGGAGTAGAAGAAAAAGTTGCCTAAAAAGTAATTACTACAATAATGTACAAATAGCCAAAATTTCTACTTAAGTAAGATAAAGTATTTGTACTTTTTTTCTTGACAGCTCGGCCCCTTGAAGAGTAATGTGCTGCCATTTTATAAAGACAGGGTAGCCTTCTGGGACTTAGAGTATTCCTCAGGAACCCTTAAGTGGTAGTCTCAGGATGTAAAAACCGGGCTCTGACCACTAGGCCACCACTGCTCCAAAATGGGACTACCCTTGATCAGAGTTTTATTCTTATTTATCAGGTTGTGTGGAGGATGGAAGAGGGCCCAAATGCAGAGACAGAAGCTGAGTAGGCTTCTTGCAGATGTACTTATCAAAAAAGACAGCAGAAGCAAAAATCCACAAACAAAATATAGAAAAACACCTAAATCCAGGACACGTCAGGGAAAACACAAATGAGGAGCCAAGAAACCAGTGACTGAACAGGAGGTGTATAAATGGGAGTCTGAACAAAGACCAGGCTAAACAGCAGATTGGGAGCAGGTGTGGACAGAAGAATCTAGAAGGTTCTAGGAGAAGGAGACTGACACAAGAGGGCAACAAAGGGTAAACAAGAAATACATAAGAACTCAAATACAACCAGAAAACTCAAAATGGAAATGAAACCAATAAAACTCAAAAAGAAAACTGAAACAGAACCAAAACCATGACATTAATATTTTGTGTTTTTTCTTGATAATGCTCTGTTATTTATACCATATGAACCTTGGCGGCCTAGTGGTTAGGGCATTGGGCTTTGAATCCTGATATTGGGATTTCGATCCCCCACTTCCCCAGACTGCCATTCTGGGTCCCTGAGCAAGACCCTTAACCCCACACTGCTCCCCGAGCCACAATGGCAGCCCAGTGCTCCCCAAGGGGATGGGTTAAATGCAGAGATAAATTTCTCCAATGTGAGATCAATAATGTTCAATTTATTTATAACAGGGAGGAAATAGGGCCATTTTGTTGACTTTTAAGAGTGGTAGGTGTAAGGAAAGTAGCTTCTGTCATTTTCAGATTATTCTCCCTTTAAAGATTTTCAGATGTGTCGTTGCAGTCATTTGTTTTATAATGCAGTTTATGTTTGATTTGATTAACAGACATGCTGCAAATTAATTCTACATTACCACTGATATTAAAAAAGAAGAGACATTTTTGTTTTCTTTCGATGGACCTTTTCTAAAAACGGAAATGAAAATACAGTTAATTGATGAGCATCCTGACGGCAATAAAAACAGAATCTCTTGTGCAAGAAAACAGACACCAAATGATCCTCATTGGGGGAATACAATTTTTAATATTTCGAAGCATTGGTTATTTCCATAAAATATTGAAAATAGGCAGGACCGCCTATCTTTCAACACTTAGTACATACAATAGAATAATGATCTGAAACTATATATATTTATAAGGCTCAAACACACATCTCCAATCTGGTTCTTTCTTTTTTCCTCCCCTACTGTAAATCTCGGATGAGTCTGAGCTGAAACATGGTGAAGCCCTGATGTGTACATTAAGAGCTGTGGAACCTGATCCGGATTAGTTATGGTATGAATAACATTTGGAGGGGAAAACAGCACTCCCACTGAATTCCTCATGTTCTGTGACCCCCACAACCTGAGTGCTAGACATCTCCTCTCTTATGTGTTTATAGTGTTTAGAAATTGTGTAAGACAAAAAATGGAGGAAAAAAAGCCATCCGTTTTACAGTCCTTTCCCCCCTCCTCTGTTCCGCTGCTTCTTCTCCTCCACCTCCTCTGTCCTCTCTCGCAAAGTTTCAATCTTTCTTCTCCGCCGCCCCGTCTTTCGGCTTCTCGTCTGGTTTGACTTCAAGGAAGAAGTCGTTACAGGCCACCGTTAGGGCACCCATCAGGATGATGAACTCTGTGAAGTCAACCTCGCCGTCGTTGTTGGCGTCCAGATCATTCATCACCTTCTCCACTGCTTCGTTGTCTTTGGAGCTCTGATAGTGAGAGATAGAAGACAAGCAGGGCTAATGTTGTGGACTTTTTAATGTGTATTTGCAGCTATGCAAAAGCTGAACAGGCTTGTCAAAACTTGTGCATGTGAGTATCAGTGCACATACCAGTACTTGTGTCACACGTGTTTGCAAAATGCACTCTGTCTTTTTCTTCACAACCACATATTTATCTTCTGAGACACTCAACACTTACCCCTAGGTAACTTCCCAGTTCCTCAAGTAGGAGCTCCTTCAGTTCTCCCCTGCTCAGAGTGTACTTATCACCCTCCTTCCCAGAGTACTTGTGGAAGGTTTTTATGAGCATCTGCATGGCACTCTCAAGGTTGGAACTGGGCTCCTTGGACATGCTGGAAAAAAGCATCAGGTAGAAATGTTAAACTCTTAGATTAGATGCCCGCTCCAGCCTCTGCTTGCATGTATGGTCACATGGCAATCAGGGGTGAAGCAACCTCAAAGATGAAGTGATGGAGATATAGGTAGGCTGATGTTGAAGAGTCACATTTTGGATGTAAAAACAGGAAAAAAAGCTTCTGAAAAAAGCTTTTCTTTTGCGAACGATCTTACACACATTGTGTCCGGCATCTTGGAGTGTCTTGTGCTCGACTCGTTGGGAGACTGTGCACACACATAGATAAGTCACTGTCAATAATGCAAAGCTGGTATGAGCAAATCCAAGCAACAGTTACATGTCATTCTTCTAGTGATGCTGTAATAAAATAACTCTCAGATGTATTACTTAACACTCCAAGGAGGAAAGTGACCTGAGGACCCTGATCACCTTTCCCTCAGATGCACTCATTAAAGCTTATTTAGTAGTTTAAAGTCACCATTAAGCCCTCTGAAATCCTGTGCAGAACCTCAGTAATAAATAAATAAATAAAACAGCTTTTAAAGTGTCAAGAAGGAGGAAGATGATCTCAAAATGTTTGTGAATAGTTTTAACCTTGTAACAACAAATATGTCACAACTATTTGTGTCTTGGAGTGACATTAAAAATATGCAAGCGCCTTATACAGTTACCTAAAGAGACAATGATGCCTGTAGCATTGCTGCAGGACTTAAACTGTTTACATTTTGATAAGTAATTAAAAAAAATAAAAGGAATACATTTTCCTTAATACATCATCTGGACAGAACCTATTTCTTATCTCTTATCTGACTGTTATTTTTTACAAATATATTATAGGTATCAATGCTGCATTAAGAGGGAGCTATGAGGATTTTCCCACAAGTTTTCAGCCAATTTCTTGTGGATTCAAAGGATATCTAGTGGTTTATGCAAAAGCCTTCAATATGACATTTGTTTTTGTTTAGTTTTTTCAGGAAGGAAATTAGATTTATCTTTTTTAGTAATATCTACACCAAGGGAAAAACCTAAAGTATCAACTATGCAAAAAAAAAAAAAAAAAAAGACTGGTTTGTTTTTTCCCTCAATAGAGATAAAATCTAAGACATTAGGATTTTCCAAAAGTTTTTTGTTGTGCCTGGCTGGTGTCTGTCACTGACGATTAGATTAGCCGGCGCAACGCTGGCTAGCTGGAAAATCTGTATGGTCACCTGTCTCGCCGGCTGACAAAATACAATAGATGCAGATAAGGACTGTAATACAATCCCAGACATTCGAACATTAAAGATGCATTCAGTGATGGAGCAATGTTTTAGATTAGGGATGCAAAATGTTTTAGAATTTGTCATGAAAAAATTATGTCATTACAGGAGTTTTTATGAATAAGCTGATTTACTTGTTTAATTTGTCAATGTTCCATCATTCTTCTCTGGATATGCAGTTTGTTTTCTTTAGGTCTCCTGCCCACAAACCTGATCTGGACCCATTGTGTTATCGACTTTGGCAGCACTCAACAGTTTGCGAGAAACCTTCTTGTCAGCTACAGAGGAGAAAGTGCAGAAAAGCAACATGTCTGTGTGTCGGTCTTACCTGAGTGCTGATGGAGGGACTCTTTTGTCTTTAAAGAGCAGCAGGGGACAGAGCCAAGGCAAAGATGGATGGGGAGAGAGTCTGCCAGTGGCTTAAATATCACCAGCTCCTCTCTCTCTCCTCCTCCTACTGCTCCCCCCCAAACTTTATCATCCCATTTGGACCTGAAGGTGCCCTTCCTCCCTTCTCCCATTCCCCTCAGCAAAAAAAGATGTCAAGAGTCTTACAAAATTAATATCCCTCCCAGTATTTGACACAAGAAGTGCATAATTGTAAAATAGAAGGAAAAGTGTTTAAACATGATTTAAAAAAAATGCTGCATGTGTTTATCCTTAACTCTTTTTACTACAATAGCCTCTTACACCTCTTAAATGTCAGTCAGAGCTAAACAAGGAGAGTATCTGTGATCATAATTGTTTAAGTCTGGTCACAGATTCTCAAACTGGACTTTGATCGGGTCATTCTTGCACAGTAACATGCTTCAATATAAAACAGATTGCTCCAGCTTTGGCTTTTTGCTTCTGTCTCTTTGGAAGGTGAAGTCCTCAAATTCTGCAATGAATTTTTTTCTGTCCACCTTTCATTCATTTCTGATTAGTTCCCAAGTCCCTTTGAGAGAAAGGATCCCCACAGTATGATACTGCCTCCACCATGCTTTACTGCATGCTGTGTTAGGTCTTCATATTTTTTCCACCCTTTTGTTAAAGATCACATTTGTAGAATACATTATTTATTGCTACTGTCTTGACAGATATTCCCACCGGGAGTCTTCATGTGCCTCTTGGTTGATTCTATAATTAATTATCATCTTGCATGGACTTTCATTTTAGGTGTGTTTATAGTTTTATAGTCTTAACCTTGCTTTAAAATTGATTACAACTTCATTGCTGTGCTGCCTCTCTGTTTGAAAACCAGGAAACTCTTCACCTCTGGTTGTGCAGAGGGTGGTAACAAGTTAATTTTACTGAAGTAACTGAAAGAAATACATCAGTTAGTCATTTTAATGCACCACCATTATTAACCTTAACTAGAGCATATCTTTATTCATAACTTTAATCAAAAAAATATTTTTGTTATTTTACTAAAAAGACTAGGAGGATTCAACCGAAATGCTCCAAACACAGAAAAGCACATTCATTTTATATCATCAGTTTCTTTTTGCTAATGTTTTTTTTGTTCAAATGTCATTTTTCAATACAAATGTCAATTGGTGAGTCTGCAGTGCAATTTGGAGGTAGGACCAATAAACAGTAAGAAAAAAACATAAATTCCCACTGGAAACACTGTATACTATAGTGAACTATAAACTACAAGTATTCATTTAAAATACTTTGAGTTTTAAAAAATAATTATAGAAATTTAATTTGGAAATAAGTATTTCTTCAACCTGAAATTATTTGTTGTAATAATAGTTATGTTTTACTCATTTTGTAGTTTTAATACCAGAATTTCTAAATATTACGTCTTTGTGCTTGTTTTTATTATATTAAAGATATAAAATCAAATAACAATTGACTTATAACAAATATTCACTACTTAAATAACCTTTCTTAACAAATTTTCCAGCGTTTTTATTGTCATTTCACTGTCACAAGTACTGTCACTGTTACTTTAACATAAGTATTGATATTTTACAGTAGTGATATGTTTTTAAATGTATTTTGGCCTTAAGATCATTGTATGCACACAGGAGCTTCCTCCCCACTACATGCCATTCCTTTAAGTAGCCCATTTCTTACTTGAGTACACTACCTATTCTATCCACTTCTTGTTGTGCACTACTTTGGGTTGGACTATTGCATAAAATCAGCCAAAAGCAAATTAAAGATTGAGGTTATAGTTCAAGAACATTTGCAAGAAACTTTGCAAGAAAAAAGCACCACACATTAAAAAATGTTACTGTCACAGTTTAATTCTATATTAGCCAGTACATAGATTATAAGCAAAAATGATACAGCATTATGTATTTATATTTATAATTAACAGTGAAGACATATTTCTAGAAAATAAACAGATAAGTACCTGCATGGCATCCTGTGAAACATCCCACTATCACAAACATTTTGAGCCCAGTGGCCATAAAGTCACATTTATATATTCAAATACTTTATGCTGTTCCAGTTCGCTGCTTAATAACTTTGATCTTTATCTACTGTATCTGAGAATGAAGGTGATTTACTGTGTGGCAATGTGAACACTCCCTGCTGCGTATCTATTGTGTTCCAGTTTTAGTAGATCATTTAGAGTTGGGTGGATTTTTGCTGTGACAAGCTTTATAAACAATAAAAGGCACATTTTAAATGAAAAATATTGGCTAAAGATCATCTTCCAGGGGATGTTCAATCAAAGTATGTTCATATTAAGCTGGTTTTTATAGTGCAAATCAGCAAACTACTGTTCTGTACCTTAACATGACCATATGAGCCGTAGGTGGTTTAGGAAACTGATGACACCATTAGTCTCAACAAAAATAAAAATGCATAAAAAAAAAAAAATCAGATTTAAAAAAGAGAGCTAGTAATAAGACCATCTAAAACGCCCATTAAGAGGCAGCTAATGCAGGAAGCATGGTGCACTGTGGGCTGCATGGAGAAGGTGTAAATGAGAGTATTTACAATGGGAGTGTCTGAGTGAAGCAGGGTGATCACATGATCTGCCTTTATTTATCTCTCCCATTTTTGTAAGGCAGCAGTGTGAAGTGCTGTCAGTTCTGATGAGGAACAAGGTGCCGCTATTTTACTATAATAATCCCTAAAGTGCTCCATCAATAGGTTAGCTGTAGATTTTAAAGTTCATTGTAATAAAGAGGGAAAAATTAATAGTGGTTAAAATAATCACAAAAATGATATTTGGTTAAATCCATTAAGATACACTCTGTGTTGTTCCTATATTTAAAACAGCACAACCGCCAACAGGCATGGAGAGGAATTCCATGTCCAGGATTACTTTCATGCAATTGTTTGCATCCCTGGGTGTGTTAGTCATGAAATGCCTAATCCAGTAATTTCCTAATGCCTAATGCTTGAGGATCCAGTTGCAGGACAAACAGGGTGTCTAAAATGCACAAGGGTGTGACCAGCAAAACATAATGGAAGAACAAGCAGCTGGTACTCCAACTATCAACCAGTTCAGATGAAGGTCAGGAGGTTTTAGCATTTTCAATAAGTAGGTCACTCTTGAACCGCCAATGCATTCATAGCTCGTTAATTAAAAGAAAATTTCCAGTAAGGTGGATTTTTAGAGTCATCTGTTGTTTGTTACAGGGTTTCCTTTTCAAAACCCAATCTGGGGATAAAGTTGCTTGAGCACCTTTGCTGATATGGCCTGCTAGTCCCCAGCCCACTCCCACAGGACTATTCTGGGCTCCCTTTTTGACCTAATTGGTCCTTTAGGTGTAGATTCCCTGACAGTGCCTTAATAATTTAGTCAAAGGTCACACCTAACGTTCCAGTCCCCAGTTCACGTCTAACAGTTCAAAGAACACACTCTGCAGACAAAGGGGGGAAAATGAGATAGATCAAAAAGTTCACAGGAAAAAGAAAGAAAAAGGGCCATGAGAAAACAATTAAGATCAGCGGAAGTATGTAGAACTTATGAAATTAGTTTGTTTATTGTTTTGTGAAATAAGCCACAGCACCAATTTCAAGACATACAAAAACCATGATTTAAGTGCATACAATAAAGGAACATTTGGACAGATTAAAGATTAAAGTTTAATAAAAAAATAACAATTTTCAAGAAAAAAAGAAGCTAACCTGAATATGTTTTATTTAGAATTAATATTGAGGAATGGTTTCCCCATCAACTTGATAAAAAAAACAAAAAACAAAAACAAGCAAACAAAAGAAAATAGTGGAATCTTACAAAGCCAATTTAATGGGCTTCAAACCAACAGAACTGAAACTATGTTAATCATTGCAGTGACTATCATTTTATTTATTTAGGTGGCAGCCATATTGGATTCAGAAATTCATTATTATTTATTAACATCAGAAGATTTCTACTTTTTTTTTTTTTTTTACTTTAAACACTAAATTTCCAACTTTCAAGTAAAAATGCCTTTTGACCTTATTGGCTAACAAATTTAAAATCTAGCTTGCCTCTAAAGTTTACACTATACTATTAGGGAAATTTAATATGTTTTAAATAATCAAGGACAAAATTAGTGAAGATAAACATTTGAAGGGTCAATTTAATTTAATCTAATTTACAACTAACAGCAAAGCAAGAATTAAAATGATCAGAAGTCAATAGGAACAGTTCATTACATTTGATTTATTATGTTTTATTTGAGTGGAAGCCATATTGGATTTGAAATACATTTTCCAAGTTGTTTGGGGAAAAACTTTAGGGAATGTTCCAGTTAATATTTTAAAACCTCTTAAGATTTTAGCTTTCAAATGCAAATATAACATGACAATGTACCAAACTAACAAAGAAAGGGAAGCAGCTAATTCATATCTTACCACCTTCCTCTAAATGTACAGGCTAGCAAATAAATGTCTGTATATATTTGTATTTATTGCCAAGCGGATTCAATTTACAAAACACAACCAAGTGCATAAAATACAGGAATGTTTCAAAGCTGGATAATGACTAAATATATTATCATGGTAAATGTCAGCTTAGCAAATTCGGAAAAGCAGCTATTGCTATCATTAACCTAAAAATAAAATTGTAAATTGAGTAAAATAGAAACAGGGAACAAAATGTAATCTCTAATATTCTAGGGTGCTTCTTAACTTTAAAAATCATTTCTTATTCCGGGATTCACAAATCCAAACATTTAGTGAGCTCCCTGTATCTATGTTTTGACTAGCAAGTTGCTAAAACGTCTAAATTATTTCTTTTAAGACATATTTATCTGGCAACGGGGTTATTGCCAAAGTTTTCAAAGGACTTGTTTTGACTTTGTTGTTAGTGTAGAAGTGAGAGAAAGTGAAAAACACCCAGAAAGAGAAAGTACGGATGGAAGGCCTCTAGTTTGCAATAGTGTGTTAAGCTGCTTCAGTCAAGTGTGCAGGAAAATCATACTTTCCAGGGAAGCTTTCACATGGATACTGCATGCACGATTTAGTGTACAACAGCATGCTGTCTTTGTATAC